CCAATTTCCACACTGGTTTCATCAGAGAAAATTATTTTCAACCAATCATAAGCTGATTTATTTTTATTTTCTTCACACCATTTAATACGAGCATATGCATGTGTTTCCGAGATATAGGGTTCCTTTGCTGCGATACGTGAGTTAAGTCCGGCGTTGTGCAATACATTTGTGGCGGTTGATTGAGGCCTAAATTTTTGACTATTTCGCGTAGTGGTGCACGTCGTTTTTCGCTAGCTTCACGTATAAGTAAATCCTTTTCGTGGTTGTTTAAGGCTGGTGGCGTGGTAAGTTTTCACTTTTTCCGGTTCGTTTATATTTGTTTATAAAGCGGTGTACCGTTGTAGGGTCGCGTCCAAGTATTTTTGTGATTTGTGCGGCATTTGTGGTGTCCATGTACGCCAAAATCTTCCCCACTTTTAAGCTGCGTATAGGTGGACACCATTTTTTAACATAACGAAATTATAGTGTTGACGAAGTGGCAAAAGATAAACAAAGTGATGTGATTCAAATTCTACTGCGTCTTTCTTTATCCATGTGTGCTAAGAAACGATATATGGTATATTTGATGCATTAAAAAAAAGCTTTTTACCAGTAGTGTTCGACAACAATTCATAAGCCGATAAACGAAATCCCGAATGCATTAAATCCCGTATCGTGAGTTTGGCATTCCATGCATTTGGAATGATGCTATATTTTCGGGATTTCATGCATTCGGGATACTCTTTCGGGATTCCGGGATCCCTTTTACATACACTTAGATGCTTGACATTTGAATAAGGCTGTGTACATTTTAAAATGCATTATGTGTATTATTGCCATTATGGTATTTTTATATAACGATAACTTCTATTTAGTGGATTCTTTGTGATTAACGTTGAATTTGCATACATGTATGTGTTTGAATTTTTAATTAAATCAGTACAAAAGTAATGAAGTTCACGTATTTTCTTAATACACTGTATATAGGCAGAACTTTTCTCTGGTCCAACTGTATACTACAGACTGTTTGACTGTATGTTGATATAATCTAATAAAATTCATCTTTGATAAATGGTCCTATATTATTCCTAATGTGAGCCAATGTCCATATCCCGTATTCACATACACTATATATTCTGCCGGCTATAATCAATTTGTGCTTTTTTCTCTCTCGATATAGCGAATCTCTCGTTATTTTCTGAGGATTATTATTAAACTTTCGCTTGATACTGTATAATGGAGTTATAAATTATTCTCTCGATATACATATAGTGAAGAATTTTTCTTGGCCCGATTTCTTCACTATAACGAGAGTGAGTTATCTTAGTAAAATATGTCTGGACCTCCATCCCTAGTTGAGCGTGTATTTATTTGCTTATAGCCAGCATTGCTCACGTTGACAGAATACGGTGTTTTTTTAAAAATACCACAAATAATTTTCATGATTTGATCCACACAAGCTATTTTCTCTCACACTTGATTACAACTCCACTTTAAGTTGCATACGTTTAACCCTTTGCGACCACATAGACTATATTTCAGAACCGATCATGGTGACTGATCGCAACTATTAAATTTAAGGATGACAAAAATTAAAAGTTTAATATATGGGAGGAAATTATTTTTTTCGTTTATCCCAATACGGCATAATTCAATCACCTTATGATCTGCAAACTGTTAAATTACACGTTACGTAATAATATTTATTTGGAAACTACGTAATGATATTATTAAAATCAACCAATTTTATCCCTATAATTCTATATAAAGTATATAAAAATTTTGTATAATTTTCTTGTTCTATATATGAAGCTAGTATGCAAAAAATTTCATGCAGAATGATACTATTTACAAGTGAAATCGCCACTATCTATGAAAATGTGTCAGGATTTATCCGTTCAATTAACAAAGGTTACTCGTATTTGTATGTAGTTATTTTTTTGAAACGTCAACGCTGCCGAGATTTTTGGCTAAAATTACAAGATTATCCGTGGATAATTCTGATAATTTTGTGCTGTTGCATCCTTCCAAAGTGGACCGTGCATTTATTCGGCTAGTTTCCAAAAGTATTTCAAGTTTATGTTCGATTCCATCGAGGCTTGTCTGGATAGAATTAATAACTTCGTTTGATTGTGTTTGTCCTCTAATATTATTCTTTTCTGATTGTGAATATATTGATCGTTGATTATCTGCGTTTGGTGTTCCGCAAGCTCTTAATACTTTTCCAAAAGAATTTGATTGCACTGGTGACATTTTTTATTTATGTTAAAGAATTCTCTGAAAATTTTTGGTTTATTTCGCATGTGGTCTATATATATATTTTTTTGATATGTATTACAAATTCTAAAAATAACTTTTCTTAAAATAGAAAAAATAACAATTACGCAATGTCGATCATTAGTGATATCATATGCATCAAGTTTCTAACCTACACTTGCATACCCCCCAATAGTAAACCCATTTTTGTTAATATGAAATTTGTGATCCGATCTTTATAAGAACCGTGATACATCACCCCTTTTAATTTGTACCCGGTCTTATCTAGGAAATGAGAATTTAACAATGGTTATGAAACCTAAGTGAAATGATGAAGAATCGAAATAATCATGAAATTGAAGCTTAGAAAAATAACCAAATGCTCTATTAATACCTTCTAAAATGTGGAACTTGCAGCATCAGCTTTCGGATAACGATCAATAAAACAACCGCGAAAATTAATAAATAGAAACTCACCTGACCATTTAATTCTGCAACCCAGTAACACCGTAAAAATAAATTCGTTGAACTAATATAAACTAACGCTAATATGTAAAAATTACTCAACGAATGAATTTACAGAATTAAAATGAGATATGTACATGTACTTCAAGATAGTATTCTTAAATGCGGAACATCATCAATGTTATGTTAGCCACAGTCATTTCTTAGCCACATGCAAATGAGAAATAAATATTGCGAGCACAAATGAAATTAATACCTTGTATCTGTGTTATGCTTACCAAGGTGTTATTGAAGCAAAATAATGGTAATGTTGCATTTTCCATTCTTTTTTAACTTGGGATTGGCCAAGTAAATAATTATTTTCGATCAAAAAAAAACTGTCATCTTTACAATTTTATTATAATTAGCTTATGTATTATTGGTCAGAACAAAACTATATGCTATGTAATAAGTCTGACGTTAAGGATGTCATTAACCAGTCCTAAAATTAATTAATTTGATTACTTATCTCCGATAGGTAACGCATATTAGAACATTATATAAACAATACCTTCCAGAGAAGAATCTCCTCAAACCGAATCACGAGTAAATTATATTATTTAGCTAGTAAATAATACAAAATTGTTAAACCTATAGCTTTTTCTTTTGAAATTAAAAATTTGAGGGTTTATTTTCTAGAAAATCAAGTAAATTAAATTTAAAGAGTAAGGAGTTGTTGATTGATCTTAACTCGCTGAGAAATCACTAATTCTTATGGGTTTGATAAAGAAGAAAGTAACGATATTGCACAGTTCAGACTATAAATTATGCATAATAAGTAGGTGCTTAAAGGTAATCAGATGTTTAAGTTTTTTATCCAATAAGTTTTTGGGTTTTAGGTCGACTTCAAATTATGGGATGGCCGAATATTTTGCGATATATTTAAAAGATCTTCAATATTCTTAAAGACAAAAATTAATTCATGTGAATATTTTCTTATAAAAAATTTAAATTTAATGATTTAATAAATACCATATTTGAAAAATCAAATTTCACTATTCCAAAGTTTTTCGTTACCACTTTAACTTTACACAAATTGTCGATAATCAAATCCAAATCTCTCAATCTCGTCTCCAAACTATCAATATATTGATAATTTTGATTACAAGATTTACAATTCGTCGAGTTCTTTAGATTGTTAAGCGTTCGACGTATTGGAGGATAAGATGTCCCTCGAATCTGAAAAATGGATCTTTTTCCCGTGGTATCTATTTCGTTGGGATTGCACTTCCGAAGGTTTCTTTTGATACAGATGTTGCTGTTGTTGTTTTCAATGTTTTTTGATGACGTTTGAGTTTGTTTTAATACCATTTTATTGTTAAAGTACGGTTTGTGGATAAAAACTTTACGAATTGTGGACGCATTTTATAAACGTAATTAAAGGAACGAAAGCCTAATGTCAGTCGTTCATTGCTGAATAAGCCATTGTATGGGATAGTGTTGCCTAAATTTGAACGTGAATGTGTTCTTATCGAATAAACGAGCTCATTAATATTACTATGTAAGTCAATTAAACATCGATTCAAGTTCCAATTAATTTTATTAAAAAGTCAAACGTAAAGAAACCTTTATATTCAAGTTCGAAAATAATTTTGTCGGTGGTTTGTGCATTGTACATGCATCACTCAATGAGAAACACAAGTTTTGTACGTGACTCTTCTTTAATCCCAAATTTGGATGTAATTTAGCGGTTAATCAGAAGCCGCCGTTATCTAAATCGTGGCTAACTGACTATTGAAAATTAATTAATCTATGAACATTGTTGAGTAACTAGAAAAAAGAGCTGCAGTTTCCTTAGAAACCAAATTTTAAAAGACGTATATGCATTAATAAAGACCTTGTATGTTATTATCCTTTGAAACCAAA